AACTAATACCGAAGCCTTATCATGCATGAGATACTGATTTAGTGGCTTTTCACCCATTAACTCTTAAGTCTTTCCAGTGCTCTATGAGGTGGCCAGTGTTAGTAGTCCCATCTACAGTCCAGAACTGGGGTACAAAGAGGTGAATTGAGGTCCCTAAAGAAGTGCTAAAGCCAGGGTCCCCTTTTATCATCTCTGGATCTCTGTCACCTCGTGTAGAATCTTCCTGCCCTGGTGTGCACAGGTCACATTCCTGCCTCAGGAAGGAGACTAATGCAGCTTGCTCCAGCTTGACACCATTCCTTCCTCCTCCCTGTTTAGCCAATTCACAGCCATCTTGAGGGTCCAGCTCAAGGCTGATCTCTGGAAAGCACATTCTAGTTCGCCTGATTCATGGAGCTCTCCCGCCTCTCTGGTCCACTGTAGCATTGGTTCATGCTAGGAAGCCTGTTTGTGCAAAGGCCCAGAAGTGTGTCAGGGGGCCTGCAAAAGTTCAGGAGAGGCATGAAGGCAGAAGCAGGGGAGGGAGGGATAATGGTTTTGTTTAGACTTTACCCTAGGGTAATGAGAAGCATGGAAGGCCATTGGTATGGCTTGATCAGAATGGCAGGTGAGAAATGTCACTGCACCTCAGATAACTGAGTGGGGTTGTATGGGGTCAAATCTAAGGCTGGGAGAATGGAAAGGAGGCTGCGTCTAGTGGGTAGGTGAGAGGCGGTGACCTGGATTCAGCAGGTGCAAGGGAGAAAGATGGGTCATGGGACACTTGGTGACTGCTTAGATATGGAGGCTGTTACCTCTGATGTCAGACTTAAAGGTCAGTCATTTTTAGATGCATTTCTTAAACATAGACTTTATTTTTTTAGAGAGTTTCAGGGTTCCAAAAAAATGAATGGAAAGCAGAAAGATTTCCCCCATATGCCCTTTCTCCACCTCCTCCTTGTCCCAGTTTCCTCTGTTATTTACATCTTGCATTAGTGTGGGGCCTTTGTTATCACTGATAAGCCAATACTGATAAATCATCATTAACTAAAGTTCATAGTTTACCTTAGGGCTCACTCTTCGTGCTATAGCATTATATGATTTTTGACAAATACATAATGTCACATAGCCATCATTACAGTAACAAAGAGTTTCACTGCCCTAAGAATCCTCTGTGGCTCTGTCTACTTCTTGCTCTCTTCCTCCTAACCCCTGGCAACCACTGCTCTTTTTATCATCTCCAAGGTTTAGCCCCCGCCAGAATGACATGTAATTGGAATCATGTCATACATAGACTTTCAAGGTTGGCTTGTTTCAGTTAGTATAATATGCCTTTAAATTTCTTCCATGTCTTTTCATGGCTCGATCCTTTCTTTTTATTGCTGAGTAACATCACGTTATATGGATATGCCACAAGTTATTTATGCATTTACCTGCTGGAGGACATCTTAGTTGCTTCCAAGTTTTGGCAAGCTGGAGCAGATTTTTGTGTGAACATACTTTTCTAACTCCGTTGAGTAAATACCGAGGAGCGTGACTCCTGGCTCATGTGGTGGTTTTGTAAGAAACTGCCAGCTGTCTTCCAAAATGCATCGTCTTGCATTCCCACCTGCATGGATGAGAGTTCCTGTAGCTCCACATCCTCACCAGCACTGTCATTTGGCAATGTCGGTGTTCTGGATTTGGGCTAGTCTTAGACATGTGTGGCGGTATCTTATTATTTTGTGTTTTTAAAGTTTTATTTATTTAAGTGATTCCCTACACCCTAACATGGAGCTCAGAATCACAACCCCAAGATCACGAGTCACATGCTCTTCTAACTGAGCCAGCCAGGTGCCCCAGTATCTTATTGTTTTAATTTGTAATTCCCTGATGACACACGATGTGGAACAACTTCATACACTTATTAGTCATCTTGATATCTTCTTTGGTGAGGTGTCTGTTCAGATCTTTTGACCACATTTTAACTGAGTTGTTTACTTACTATCAACTTTTAAGAGTTCTTTGGACTCATTTCTTTATTGTTTCCATAGAGTGGGCCTTCTCTCTCTTCCCTTCACGTCTTCTCAGTTCTACTCACTCCCAGTTCTACCTGTGGTCTTTCTTCCTGCAGAGAGACAACTCAACACCAGAGAAGCAGGCTCTTTGCTCAGGAGCAGAAAGGATGCTGTTAGAACAGCTCAGACACAGAAATAGAAGACATGTTTTGAATACTTAGTTAAAAGCACTAAGTTTGATAAAGACACACACACACACACACACACACACACACACACTTTCGATTGTAGATTTATGTATACAATGGGAACTATGAATGCTGGGTAGTGTCTTTTTGCAGTCAAATGACTGGGAAAAAGGCTGTATCCTACAGGCTACAGAACAATCACCTGAATTGTTGCAAGCCTGTTCTTTGGCCACTGAGGTGGAGTGCAGGGTGTGGTGTCAAAACATGATGTTTCTCCTGATTAGACGGGGGCCCCAAATGTGGGGCAGTGATGCACTGGGTGGAAGCCAGTGGTGAGGACCGTGGAGGGATTCACACGAGACACAACAAAGGTGATAGAAATTTACTGAATACACCACAGGAGAGTGGTGAGTAGGACCACACAGGAGAGGCTGTCTGCAAGGAGGCCATGGGTAGGCGGCTGCATTTAAAGGGGGAAGGTGAGGAGGTAGGATGACATAGGAATTTTCCCTTTTTTGGTAACTGTGCATGGTTGTTAGTAGGTAGTCCATTGGTCAATTAGGGCCCGTGGATATTTGAGGTTTCCCCAAGGACCTGCCTGCATCCAGACAGGTGCTCGCTGTGGGCCCCTTCTATGCCTATTTGCCTAAAAGCAGCCTCTACACAGAGGTCTGATTTAAGTAGTAAAGTACTTTAGGGATAAAACCCAATGGCAGATTGAAGGGAACCCTTGAGAGGCTATTTTTAAAGTGATGGGGGAGCCACTGAGGGTTATCGAGCAGGAGTGGAAAAGGATCAGGCTGCTCCCTTCCATAGCTTATGCTGATTACACAGTAATTGTGCACAGTCACTGAAAAGTCAACAGGATTAAAAAAAAAAATTGGGGCTTAAATGCTCCATCTTAGGAATTCTCCAACCCCCCCTTTCACTCTTTAGAAATTGGGGTTAATTCTTTCCTCCAAAACTGATATGAGGATTGTATAAGATAGTATGTAAATTACCTAGCATTATCTCATTTAATTCTTAAAACCACCCTTCCTAATTTATTTCTCATGACTCATTTAATTATCTTATTTCATTTCATTCCCATACCTCCTTGGAACTCTGGGGTGTAGAGGTCTGCTTTATCAGGCTCTTACCTCCAGGCCTTTCTATTTGGTGCATCACTGAAGACATCCATGATGATGATAATTTTTACAACAGGCCAGGCAATTTGTTAAGTGCTGTACATCCATCAGCTCCCTTAAATCCCACAAAATTATTAATATTCCCATTTAGTTGATACGGACACTGAGATTCACACAGTGTGCTTTGCCCAAGGTCACCCAGCAATTAAATGAGGCAAGGCTTGTATTCAAACCCTGGCTTATCTAGCTCAACCACCTGTGCTCTTAACTATTAACTATACAAGGAGCCTTTTCTGTGAGGTCTGCTCCCTGAACAGCCTTCCAAGCACTTTGTTGGCCTTCTGTTGGAATATTGACAGCAGAGCACTGGATTCAGGCTCACCAGTCAGTCTCTCTCACTAAACTGAGTCCCTGAGGGCCAAGAACTTGTCTTGGTCCCCTTTGCTCCCCCAAAACCTTGCACTGTGTTTGGCACACTCTGGGCTCTTAATTCGTTCTTTCTGCAAATACACGGAGTGTTTGCTATGAACCACGCAGTACACTAGTCTTAGGGAAATATGACAGTCTTGCCAGCAATGACCCCTTCGGTACCAGTATAGACAGAATGTAATTTTAACATTGGGTAAGCATTATCATAGGTACATACATGTAAGGTACAAGGGACTGCGAAGTCTGTGGACAGGATTTCACACAGATTCATAGAGAAAAGCAAAGAGAACAAATAAAACTTTCTTCTCAAGAACAAGAGGATGCACCTTGTGACCGACCCTTGTAATTTTCTTGAAATTTCCCTTGAGCTGCTTCCCTACGTAATGTTTACAGCTCCAAGGGTTAGAAGGCCCACAAATTGGCACTGCAGTACAGAGGACGCCTTTTGTCGGGTTTACTGAATTCTCAGGGTTACCCCTCCCAGAGGGAGGGCTAGGCAGGCAGCTGCACCCCTCCTGAAAGAAAACTGCATTACTGCAACCTTGCGCTAGTCGCCGGGGTTGCCGCGTTAGACCAGAACCTGCTTCCTCGGCGCTTGCATTCCGACAGAACTTCAGGCCGCGGTCAGGTGCTCTGGGGGAGACGAGGGCCATTTCCCGCAGATAGTTAAAACCTCTACGAAGCGGTGATCTTGAGCTGGAATTTTGGAACTTTAATAAACGTAAAGAACGAATGGATGACGAATGACCATCGAGCTCGCGGTTGCCAAGAAGCTGAAGAACGTCTGTGACGTCAGGATCGTAATAAAAAGGAGGAGGGGAAAAGAAACACTCGGGATGGTCCGAGAACGATATTTGCACAGCAAACAAGATGAAAGACGAACTCCCGCCACCGATTCCAGCGCCCGCAGCCCCGGGAGAAGCGCGGGAACGGCCGACTGGCGGTTCCGGGACCACGGCTAGGGGCGGGGCCACGCGGGGGCGGGGCTACGGAAGCCGAGCGGGCTCCGAGGCTTCTGGCAGAGGAAGTGTGCGCAGGCCTGCGGCGCTGGGCGGACTCAAGGCGTTCCCCGCTGACCCACGGCGTTCCCACCCACGCCCGCATTTATATTCGCCCTCGCGGGTTCCGGGGCAGACCCAGGGTTTTAGTCGGTCGGCGTTTTCTGTTGGTTCAGTGCGGTGAGGGACTCACTGCGGCGTGACGTCGGGCGCCTCTTGACCGGTTGAGCGCCTGCCCTCCGGGCCGCCCTTGGGGGGATTCGGGCATTAGCCCAGCTCCTGCTCGTGTTCCCCGTCCAGGCGGGGTTTCCGGGCACCGCTTCGACGGCGGCTTCGCGGGACCCGCAGACCCGGTCGCAGCCCGAGCCCCAAGCGGACGGAGTCATGAGGCACCTGCCGTATTTCTGCCGCGGCCAGGTGGTGCGGGGCTTCGGCCGCGGCTCCAAGCAGCTGGGCATCCCCACAGGTGAGCGCGGAAGGTCGCGGGGCCCCCTCTCCCCGCCCCGGCTCCCGGGGTTGGGTCCAGTGGGACGTCAGACGCGGGACTTGGGGCTGCCGGCAGAGGTGACGCCCTTTCCTTCGCTCGGTCCTTGCTTCGTTGAGCCGGAGGACCTTTGGTCACATTGAGGAAGTCGTCCTTACCCACGGCTGGGGGTTACCGGGGATCGGGCTGCAGTGGGGGTGAGGGCAGAAAGCCGAGCTGAGTTTCGGGATCCCCCTTTCCCGCCTCTTTATCCAACCAAGCTAGAGCTGCCAGGCATGGCACGCGTCATCCCCATTAGGAAACGTAATGTGAACCAGATTGGTTAAATTTCCAATTTTTTTGTTCTCATTGTATGTCTGGTTAGCAATTGGATGAGAATCAGGTATCTTTTTTTGGTCCGTCTACATCGGTTTCAGTAGTCAGGACCTGACTGTGTGAATAATTCATTCTTAAAAATACATACCAGGGTTGTCCCTGGTCTTTGAGTTTGGGACCTAGCCGTGTGTATTTTGAAAATAAGAATCGTTTGAAGAGCTTCTGAACCTCCTTAAGAAAGACCAGGTCTGGGGGGTGGGGGGGATAAAAACAACACACAGCTGTTCATGCACCTGTTTTCATCTACCTCAAGAATTTGTGTGTCGGTGTTTTTGTTTTTTGGAGAGTTGTATACATTTAATTGTTCTTAACCTTGCCACATGAAGAGGAGCAAAAAAGCCCATGCCAGACTATAGAATGGTGGGATTCGTAATCATAGGCAGGATTCCAGGAAAATTATGAGCGTAATGATGTAGGCTAGCCTTCGTGCGATTTTTATAAATATTTGCTATGAAACTGTTAACACTCAGAATATTTATTTCTGTTATTTAGCTAACTTTCCGGAACAAGTAGTTGATAATCTTCCAGCCGATGTATCCACTGGCATTTATTATGGCTGGGCCAGTGTTGGAAATGGAGACGTTCATAAGATGGTGGTGAGCATAGGATGGAACCCATACTACAAGAATACAAAAAAGTCTATGGTAAGAATTATATTCAGGTCTGTCTCTGAAAACGGGGTAGTAATTTAACGTAATACTCGGTTTTAGAGGCACATAGAAATCATCAGTGGTACTCACAGCATAGTCCAAATTACTAGAATTTTTGGCAGTTTTCTTGAAGGATTTTCAAGTGAAGTGTTGAGTTACTGTTTGGATTAACTCTTCATCCTTTCACTTTCAAAGTGAATCTCTTACAAAATAAAGTGAGTCCCTTGTAAAAGGGGGAGTATAATTGGATTGTGCTTTCTGATCATTCTGTTGATCTCTGCCTTTTCATTGGAAAGTTCAGTCCATTTACATTTAAGCTAATGACTGGTAAGGAGGGACTTCTGCCATTTTGCTGTTTTCTATAGGCCTTACAGCTTTTTTGTCTGTTATTTCTTCCATTACTGTCTTTTGTTTAATTTTTTTTGTAGTGACACATTTTGATTCCTTTATTTCCTTTTGTGTCTTTTCTATAGGATTTGCGTGTGTGTGTTTGTGGTTACCACGAGGAGTGCATTTGACTTTCTACAGTTATAAAATCTATTTTGGATTTATGACAGTTTTAATTGTACATAAAAACTCACAAATTACATCCTTATACGTTGTGTGCCCAATAAAAACAGTAATATTTTTATGCATTTATTTTTTAAATCATGTAGACAGTAAAAAGTGGAGTTTCAAGCCATAATTGCAATATTAATTTTCATAGCTGTCCATGTGTTTATCTCCAGTGGAGACAAAAGTGTATTACTTGGGGCACCTGGTAGCTCAGTGTGTTGAATGTTCAACTCTTGATTTCGGCTCAGGTCATGATGTCAACATGGTGAGATGGAGTCCCTTGTCAGCTCTGCTGGGCGTGGAGTCTGCTTCAGATTCTCTTTCCCTCTCCTACATTCCCCCTTAAAAAAACAAACGAATTACTTAAGAGCATGTTTGAGAGATAAAGTTGCGCTTGCTACAGTTAATATAGTTCCTTCACCCTTTAATTACTTGCTCACGCTGCTGAGATAGAACTGCTTACTCCATAGAGGTGCTGTCTTCATAAAATTGCAAGGTGATGCTTTTTTTTTTCCCCTCTTAAACTACTTGGAAGGTGTACCCTTCTGTTCTTTTCGCAGTACCCATGCCACTTAAGAGCTTAATATGCTAGATAGGGCTGGATCTTGGTCAGGTTAAGTGTGTGGAAAAACAGTAGATCTAAATTTAGTCCTTGAAGAGTTTGCAGAAGCGTGTCACAGTTGGAAAACCATAGGGCTAAGTTCTGGTACAAACTGTAGAAATGGCCCAGAATGGCTTAACATTGTGTTCAGTATTTCTTATTTTTGAGTATTAAGGATGTGGGAATTATTTGGAGTAGATAAGGAAAAGAACTACTGAGAGAATACAAAATCGTTTTCTGTAGATGGGGAGGAAATGAAAAGGAGAAGGAAAGCTATTCTATGACAAATTTCAGGTAACAGGACTATGACTGTAGCAAGCCCAAGTCCTGCCAGCATTAGAAGAAACTCAATTTTCTATTGGTAGGAGGTTCATACTCTTCAGGTTTTGTTTTTTTCTTTGGTTGCCAATACCGGACATCTACGATGTGCCTGTTTAAGTCTTTTCCCCTTTAAAAAAAAAATTGGATTGGTTCTTTTAATTAACTTAAAGAAGTTCTTAGTATGTCCGAGATCTGATTGCTTTGTTGTCATATGTATTGCAAATATTGTTGCCTTCTCTATTGCTTTTTTGTTTGTTTGTTTTAATGGTGTGGTGTCTTTGAAGAACAGAGGTTCTTAATGCTAATATAATCTAATTCATCATTTCTCTTTAATGGTTAGTGCCTTTTAATAGCCCGTTTAAGGAAACTTTGCCTACTCTATCTAGGTCATTATGATACTCTTCTTTGTTTTCTTCTAAAAACTTGTCTTAAACTTTTCTCATCAGATTGGTTTTTGAGTATGGGGCAAAGTAAGGGTCAAAATTAATTTTTTCCCATATGGATATTGAGTCTGCACATTTATTGAAATATCATTCTTTCATGACCGTGCTGCACTGTCACCTTGGTCATAAACCCTGTGACTTTATATGTGTGAGTCTAAAATGTGCTCATACAGACTTGGTTTCCTAGTCTGTCTTTGGGTCATTACCACATTGTCTTTATTTCCATAGCTTTTATAATAGGTCTTGCTATCTGACTGTGTAAGTCCTCTACTTCTGTTTTCAAGATTTTGGAGGGATAATTTCAACCTTCCACATTTCCTTACAAATTTTGGAATCACTTGACACTTTCCATCATTAAAAAAGCAAAAAAACTAGGATTTTGACAGGGATGGCATGAAATACGTAGATGAATTTAGGAAGAGTAGACATCTTTACCATTTTTCTCAGTGATGTTTTATAAGGATCAGCGTTGATGTTTCTAAGTATCACTTCATGTATTCGATTTTCTAAAGTCCTGCACAAAATATGCCTCTGTCTCTTAAGTTTCACGTTTCTAGATTGTTTAAAGTTCTCTGCATCCGCCGTAGCCCAGTCTCTAGAATTCAGATTGCAGATTATCATCTACCTCCTCCACCATTTTGCTTCGACCTGTCCTGTACCCATTTGTCAACATCGTCCCTTGATCAGGATCCTACATTGGCTCTTCTGCCTGCGTGTCAGTCTTCAGCTCTGCCTAACCTTCAGAAGTTTCCGTAACATGGCGTGCGTCACAGACATATGGATACTGGTTAACCTTAGAAATGATTCTTTTAATAGTAACATCTCTTAATACTTTGCTCCTTACTTGGCAGTGTCTTGACATGGGTGTTTGTTTTTGTTTTTTGTGGGTTTTTTTGCCTTGATAAGACTTAATCACTTTGCATGTTAGTTTTTTTAAGGATTTTATTTAAAAATAAAAGCAATCTCTGCACCCAGTGTGGGTGCACCCAATGTGGGGCTCAGACTCACAACCCTGAGATCAAGTTGTGTGCTCCACTAACTGAGCCAGGGAGGCACCCCTGCATGTTAGTTTGTGTTTTTTTTTAAAGATTTGATTTGAGAGAGAAGGAGCACAGAGGGAGATTGAAAGGAAGAAGCAGACTCCATGCTGAGCAGAGAGCCCAACATGAGGCTCCATCCCAGGAGCCCAAGATCATGACCTGAGCTGAAGGCACATGCTTAACCAACTCAGCCACCCAGGTGCCCCCCCCCCCAACCTTTTTTTTTTTTTTTTAAATATATAAACAGCAAATCATACCAGATTTGTGGTAAAACATCTGCCTTACTTAGTTATAATGTTTATATGTAAGGTCAGGGGCAGGAACAGGACTGATAAAAGAATTTGGGAAAAAACTGCACTTAGATTTTAACCTGTCTTTAAAAATTTATTAAGGGTTGCAGCAGCTCTTTCTGCCCAGGAGTCCTGTCCCCATGCTTTAATAAAATCACCTTTTTGCACTAAAAAAAAAAAAAAATAAATAAAATAAAAATAAAAATTTATTAAGGGTTGATTGTTTTATTTAAGTTATGCCCACCATAAATGTGGAGATATATTTCAAATTTCAGATACTCTGTAATTTCATGGTAATCTTTTTCACATTTCTTAATTCTAGGAAACTCATATCATGCATACCTTCAAAGAGGACTTCTATGGGGAGATCCTCAATGTGGCCATTGTTGGCTACCTCAGACCGGAAAAGAACTTTGATTCTTTAGGTAAGTTGTGCTTAGGTCTTCTGAAGTATTACTGCAGCTACTTCTGCTGCTTCTCCCAGTAACAGCATGGCAGGAGAGAGAACATTCGAGCATTTACTCTGTGCCTTACATGTTTCACTTCCACCAAAACATACGAGGAATTCTTTTGCCCCTTTCACAGATGAGGAAATTGGCAGAGAGGGGTTAAGTAATTTGAGTAGGGTCACATCAGTATGTGGTGGAGCCTAGATTCCAACCCACCAGGCTGGCTGCTTCTCTCCCAACAGTTTGAAGTTAGTGAAATCTTTTTCCTTCTCATATTTTAAGGAATAAGTGAGAATGAATGCTGAGAGGAGTAATCCTTGCTTTGCAGTGCTTGATGTGTAAGAAACTAAATCAGTACTTGAAGCAAGTCGTATCAAGTATGTTAGTATAGTGTGGCTGTTTCAGTTCTACTGTAGAATTTGATAAATGTGGATACCGAAGAGGCTTGATCACGAGTATTTGTTCCATTTGGTATTTGTGACATACCTTCGTGCTAATGCCCTTCTCTAAGAAATTGCAAGAAGATCAGGGACGTCTCTTGTAGACCATTGACTTTTACTTAAGTCTGGAAGAAGGGATGAAATAAACTTTTACTGGGTAGCTGCTCTGTGCTAAAGACGCTGCTAGCCTGTGGGTTTTTAGGAGTCCGAACAAAGGGGTAGTCAGAGTGTAGCAGCAGTTTTTCATTGTTTCCCTGCTCTGTTCTCTCTGCAGAGTCCCTTATTTCAGCAATTCAAGCTGATATTGAGGAAGCTAAGAAACGACTAGATTTACCAGAACATTTGAAATTCAAAGAAGACAATTTCTTCCAGGTTCCCAAAGGCAAAATAATGAATGGTCACTGATAAAAAAAATCACCTTATTCTTATTTATTCATTTACTGTTTTCTAATATTTTACTGCTCATAACTCCTCCATCATTATATTTTGAAAATCAGATATTTTCTTACAGCTGTGAATTAGTTTAAACAGTACAGTGTCTTTACCACGTTATGTTTCAACCATTCAAATCAAACCCATCATGCTATTGTACTAAAGTGATTGATTTTAAAGATCAAGATTCTTTTTGATGTAATATGTTGATTAAAATGTACTACTAGAAAGGTCTTAAGTGTCTTAAAATGGAAATGAAAATGTATATAAGTATGGGTAAAAAGGCAAGTCACGAGATTTGAGATGAGAACTAGTAATTCTCATGGTGCCCAGTAGTACATATATACTTGTGTAGTGTGTGCCTCTCAGTGGGGCAGGCTTAGCAAAGTAAATGTATTCAACAGAGGTGTGAGAGTTGATTATAAACCTAAGGGGAAAAATCCAGACTTTATATTTTTGATATTTTGTGCATTAATATATTGTTGCAAACATGTAGACATGTGAATTTTTTTTTTCTCTTGTGTGAAGTTTTATTGTGGTTAGTCATTTCCTTTATGAGGTCAGATCATTGCACTGTATTCATTTTCTTTTACAGCTGCCTCAGTTCTAATTGGTCTAGACTCCCTCTCCGTATCATTTGTTTGTTTATCTCCTGAAGCGGTAAAATGAGTGTTTTTCTAATCTCTAGCTCTCATTTTTGTGTTGTATGGCACTTCTCTGTTTTAAGAGCAGATGTTCAATATTTTTCTTGATTTGGTTCTTTTTCCTTGGAACAACCGTCCGTGTCTTTTTTTTTCCTATCCCATTGAGAATGCCCTACAACTAACTGTTCATTTAGACAAAAGATTGCATCTATATCTACCATTCCATCCCTTCACTATATAAAGTGATTAAGTGCATATCTGTATTGCATTTTAGGAAAAATATCCCCAAAACTTCATTAGGTTTCCTCAAGTTTAACTGAGCACACAGCCGTTCATTTGTAAATACCAGTTTCTTAAAGAACACAAAACATTTGTTTTTCCCCCTGGGGAAACCATTTAAGAGCCAATTAAATTATGAAAGTTATTTATTTTTAATGTAATTACATATTCCTGAGCAAATGTAAACTGTTAGAGCTGTGTACGCACAATGTAATTCAATGCTAAACAGTGCTTGTAGCTTGGGGGAAAGGCATAAATAATTAAGTTTTAGTTACATAATCCTCATACTATGCATTTTTTTCTTCCTCCTAACAAATAATTTTCAGCTACTTGAGACTCTGATTTGGCAGAAAGTTGAAATCTTTGGGTATTTAGGAGATTAAGATTACAGATTGTTTGGGCCTCTGAAACAGTACATGGCATTATTGTTCACTTAAGCACCAGATTTGGAGTGGGGAAGGGGAGCAGAGGTTTGAAGAAGGTAATTTTAAAAGTAACTCGTTATAAGTCATTTTCCCTGATCTGCATAGAGAACAGATTTTAAGAAAAATATAAAGTATTTGGAAAAACACCTAAAACATCCAGAGAAAGGGGACGCATGGATATCTTCAGCTGAATTGTGTTTTGCTTTTTGGTTTATGAATTTATGGCAAACAAGGTAGTATGTGTCTTTTATAAAAAGATTGAGAAAATATAATTTAACGTTAGAGATGCTATACTTGAAAGAAGCCACAGTTATTAGTGGCTTTAGAAAGCGAAGATAAAAACAGACACAGAAAGTGTAAAAACAGGTTTGTGTTTGAATAGCCTGCTGCTAATTACGTCCTCATTAAACGTGTGAAGTTTGATATTGTCACCTTACAATTTGAAAATCGTATATTGTGAGGTGTAAGAGCCAATAGTGTCTACACTTCTTAAAGTTTTATATTAAGTATGTCGTATAAGACATGGCAGTAGTACCATTTTTGTTTACTCTGATTTCAGGCCTTGAAATAAATCTTATCTAAATGATGTTTTTTCCCCCGTGTCAGTTTGTCTGTGTGTAGGTTCCTCATTGGCCGCCTGGTGGTCCCTTGCCGATGTGTTCGAGGGCCTGACTGGCGAGTTGCCGGGGGCCGCTGGAGGGGGAGCCTGCGTGCATGGTAGTTCTAGATCCAGGGGCTTTGCCTCGACAAGCCCCTGTTGATGCCTGCAACACAGGTTTATTTGGAGAGCATTCTATTCTTTTTTTTTTTTTTTTTCTTTTAAGATTTTATTTATTTATTTAGAGAGCACAAGCTGGGAGAGGGGCAGAAAGAGAAAATCTCAAGCAGACTCCACGCTGAGTCCAGAACCAGACACGGGGCTGGATCCCACAGCCCTGAGATCATGACCTGAGCCAAAATCAAGGCTTAACCCACCTGAGCCTCCCAGGCGCCCCAGAGAGCGATCTGTTCATAGGGTGTCAGTTCTCAAAAGCCTACTTTCTGAGGGTGAGGGTCCCCATTATATTTTTAGTCCTAAGAGCCGGAGGAATAGAAGTCTGAGTTCCCTTCCATAACTCCTGCTCCAAAACAGGATTCTGCTGTCTTGGTGACTAGCAGTCCCTCAGAACTCCCGCTTGTGTCTAGTGTATGCGGGGACACACGCGTGTTCCTCCAGCGCTACTCTCCAGTGCTGTGGACCGTGGGGGCTCATGCGTTTGCAGCTACGGCTGCTGTTGTAACAGCTGGGATCAGGGAGACGTGAGCCGGAAGATTACTTAGAACTTAGGAGGACTGTTTTGCTTTCCTGGTAAAAGTGCCAGCCTTTTCCTGTATCCCCATCCCGCTGCCCCACTCCCCTGACTCGGGAAATGGTTGTGAGGCTGATAGATGAGGTCCAGTCTGACCGTCAGAGACTGAGCTGGGAAATAAATGTGCCCCGTGAAGAGATGCCATCAGAAGCAAGAGCAGAAACAAATTCTAGGACCAGCTCTACCATGACAGGTAGAAGGATTATCAGATAGAATTTGAAATGACTTTAATATGTGTAAAGAAATGAGTGTTAAAAACTGGTAAAATAAGGGTCAATAAAAATTGGGTAGAGGGAAGTTAGGTGGGGGATGACGAAATAAAGGGGATTAAGAGGTACAAGCTTTCAGTTCTAGGATAAGTCACGGAGATGGAAAGTATAGCACAGGGAATATACTTAATAAGGTATGATTATAGATGGTGACTACACTTAATGGTGGGGAGCACTAGTAATGTACAGAATTATTGAATCAGTATGATGTACACCTGAAACTAACACCATATATTAATTTGAGTAAATTCATTATAGCTTTATTAGGGTATGATTGACAACAAATTGCACATATTTGAATTTTATGACTTGGTAAATTGATATATGGATACACAGAGGTAAAATCAATGTCAGGATAATAAATATCACCCCCCCCCCCAAATAAAACCTGGGGAGGATAGGCATGGATTTAAAGTGGTTATTCATATCTTCAAATCTGGAGTGTCCAGGTGAATTTGTGTGTTTACTCTTTTAGTTGGAGGTGTAGATGATTATAAGATGCCAGCACTGGATGGGAAGTTAATTTTTTGTGCCCGCCTCCCCAAATTCATATGTTGAAGTCTTAGCACCCAGTGTGTGAACAGGTGGGACCTTTGCTGGGGGCAGAGCTGTCATGAATGGGCTTGCCCTTAGAAAAAGTTACTCCAGAGAACTTTTCGTTCTTTCTGCCATGTGAGGACAAGGACGCAAGGAGAAGTCAGCAGTCTGCGACCCAGGAAGCATCTCACCAGAACGTAACCATGTTGGCTCAGACTTCCAGCCTCCAGAACCATGAGAAATAAGTTTCTGTCCTTTATAAGTCACTCAGTCTTGGGGTATTTTGTTATAGAAGCCTGAACAGACAGAGGAACCCTGGTGTGAAGCTTAAAAATAGATGGCCTCCTCGTTCCCTGTTCTCCTCTCCCTTCCCCTGTTCCTCCTCCCCTCCTCTGTCTCCCGCTCTCTCTCCTCTAATCGAAACAGACGTGAGCCATTGGGTTGGGAGTGAATAAGGTACAAAAGCATCATCTATAAAATACTTGTAATTTTTTGCTTTGGAACTAGATTTGAGTTGTCAGACTGCTGTCCTCCAGATTAGTCTTGATCCGTTTCCCAAGATCAGCACTGAAAACCAGTACCAGTTCCATGGGTCACCCAGGATAGGGGGAGAGCAGAGCTGCTGGAGGGTGTGGGGAAGGGGTGCGTGCCAGTCCCTGTACAGAGTCTTAGCAATCACTGTTGCTGTCTTTGGGAGAGCCTTATCTTAGGAACCACTTAGGTGGTCAGCAAGCATGGCCAATAGGCAGGTAGAAAAGTCAAAGCTACCCATGAACACTTCTTAGCTTTAAATTGCTAAAGCCTGGGTTTTTTGCAGCTCAGACCTAAAATTTAATTCTTTTATGTTACTTTGTATCTTGGCCAGGGCTGCCTCCTGGGACAGTAGAAGCCTTGGTTGATTTCGAACGGGCAAGGATAACTAAACAAATAAAAGGAATCTTTCTATTCTCGCTCATGCTCTTGGCCTGTTAGTCTATCTTATAGTTGAATTCTCTTAAGTTAAATCCAAGTATTATGTATCTGCACTGTATGATCTTCTGTGTTTCCCACAGCAGACCCAGCCTTCTATGTTAACCGTTTTGCTTAGGAATCTAACTGGTTGCAAATAACAGAAAGAAGCCAGGCTGACTTAAGCAGGAGGTGAAGTTACTTAGAAGAATGATGGGTTACTCAGGGTGGACACGAGAGCTGGACGCTGGGTAAAGATGGAGCACCTCAGAACTGGGGTCAAAATCGCACGAGAGCTGGTTCCCAGGAGAGCGAGCGTGCCCCAGCTTCCCAGCAAGCCCCAGCGGAGCCACGGTCACATAGCTGGCCCCGTTGGCCCAAGACTCATCTTTCTGAGATTTAACAGTTTGTTTTGAAGTTTTTATTTAAGTAGCCTCTGCACCTGGGTGGCTCAGTAAAGTAATCTCTACACCCAGCATGGGGCTCAAACTCATGACCCTGACACCCAAGATGGAGTGTCAGCCCCTCCAGCCAGCCGGGCGCCCCAATCTTTCTGTGATTGTCATCTGATTGGCCGAGCTTCGGTCACGTGCCCGCGTGTTCGCGGCAAAGAGTAGGCTGGAAAACAGCGTACCTATTTAAGCTCCTGCAGAGAGAGGCACTTTTTCCATCAAGGCTGATGCAGTGGGAAGTGAATTCTCTAAATGTAACGCGGGTTAATGGATGGTAAGAAAAAAAAAAGACAAGTCTCCACTTGCATTATCCAACTCTGAAGGAAACGATCTGAGTACCTGCTGTTCGTCCTCTCCTGCACCCATCCCCTGATTATCATGTTCCAGAGAGACTGATGAACACCTTTTTTTTTTTATTTTTTAAAGATTTGAGAGAGAAAGCACTACACGCATGCGCACTAGCAGGGGCGGAGAGAGAGAGAGGAAGAAGCTCAAGCAGATCCCACACAGCACAGAGCCTGATGTGGGGCTTGATTCCACGACCCCACAATCATGAGCTGAGCCAAAACCAAGGGCTGGATGCTTAACTGACTGCACCGCCCCGGTGCTCCTAGAACCTTTTGTTTCTTTTATATAAAGGAAAAAAATACATAATCCACAGTGTTTCCACTTTTATCTTGATTTGCAGGAAGCCAGGGGCTAGTGTTCGTCTCAGTAGTGATACTCTTAGGAGCCCCGATTTTCAGAGTGTTCTTGGAAGAGCCCTAGAGCTTCCTGGAGGTGCACCAGGGGCTGGGCCAGCAAGGGGATCTCTGCCCTCCTCACTTGAAGGTAGTACTTTGAACTTCTACCCCTGCGGTTTCTACCAAA